CTCAGCTCTCGCGAGAGCTGAGAGAGCCCAATGAGGGAGCGGGGAGGGCCGGGTGGAGGCGCTGAGGGGCCCGCCGGTTGTCTCCCCCTCCCTGTCTCGCTCGCTTTCTCGCGGTGTTTGAGGGGAGGGCTCCGCCCCCCCCGCTCTTCCCTCCCCCGCAGCATCCTTCTTCCGAAGAGGGAACATGGAGGCGGCCCGGACAGGTCAGTGCCGAGTGGGGGAAGGGGGCGGGGACGGTCGCGAGGGCTGTAAAATGGCCCCTTTCCCTTTGTGCCCGCGAGGACCTGCCTCCCTTTCCTCCACCTTCCCCTTTGAAGCCATCAGCCATCTTTCTCGCTTGCCTGCCTCCCCCCCAACTAGTTTGGTCTTTCCCAACCTGGTGCCCCCCAAGATACAAGAGGTGTGGGGCTACAATTTCCATCACCCCCTTTGCTATAATAGGCTGCAATTCCTATCATCCCCGTCCATTTCCCTTGGGGTACAATTCCCATCCTCCCCATTTCAGGTCCGTTAAATAACAGTTCCCATCATCCCCATTCCAGGTCTGTTAAGCAGTAGTTCCCATTATCCCTGTCCATTTTCCTTGGGCTACAGTTCCTGTCATTCCCGTTTCAGGACTGTTAAACAGCAGTTCCCATCATCCCCTTCCATGTGTCTTGGGCTGTAGTTCCCACTATCCCCTCCCATGTATCTCCTCATCCTCATTCCAGGTCTGTTAAACAACAATTCTCATCATCCCTTCCTTGTGCTTTGGAGTAAGTTTCAATCATCCCCATTCCAGGTCTGCTAAACAACAGTTCCCATCATCCCTTTCCATTTCCCTTGGGCTATGGTTCCCATTCCAGGTCTGTTAAACAATGGTTCCCATCATCCCTGTTAATTTCTCTTGGGCTACAGTTCCTGTCATTCCCACTCTGTTAACTCCAGGTCTGTTAAACAACAGTTCCTATCATCCTCTTTCATGTGCCTTGGACTACAGTTCCCATCGTCCATAAGCCTTCTGCATTCTATCCACTTTCATGTTCTCAGTCTTGCCTTTTTCTGTGCTCCGTATATTCAACAACAACCTGAGAATGTTGGAGGCTTGACAAAAAGTGCTGATCAGGAGATTAGAAAAATAAGGGGCTGGTTTGTTTCTCCTGCTAATCTTCCAGTGCAATATGTTCCTCCATCCTGGAGCGGAGCAAAGATCCCCACTCTATCTGCTGTCAGAAGATGTGTGTGCTTGTATAGCAGAAAAAGAGGAGATGGTGGGGCGGGGATTCTGTGTTGATTTGAAAGCAAAGTAGCTACCAAGAATGCTTCTGCTTGGATTCAGGATATATCAGCGTGTTATGGGGAAGGCTTCCTTCTAAAGGTTTTAACGTTAAGCCTTGGGTACCATTGGGACATTTGTGAATAACAGCATTGCTAATAGACACAAACACATTTTTATTCCCCCTCCAAAACCCACTTTTGTTCAGTAAAGTTCGTTCAGGGTGGTGGATAAAAAGAGAACCTTTTCTGTAATTCCTCAAATACCAATTATACATGAAGGATATATATTCTGCTTCTTAATGTTTTATTTAAAAAAAACAAATTGCTTGAAGTCTTGGCTTTAAAATCTTAAATACAATTTATTTGTAACTCATTAATGAAGACAATGAGTTGGTCCTTAAATTGAATCATACTGAGATTAGATTAACATCAATGGGATTTATTACTCAAGATTTAAGCTCTATTGATTTCCGTCTCCAAGTATGACTAAACCTGGATGTAGCCCAATATTTACCAAAGTGGAATTAGAGCTGCATATTTATAGTTCTAAAGAAAATTTATGCTATATATAGAATCTATTACAAGGTATCTAAATTCCATTTAAACTAGAATAAAAGTATTTACTGTATATAATGACATTCAACTGCAAATTATTTATAGGAAAAATTACTTATAGGAAAATGTTTAGGCTGGTAATCTAAACTTTTTTTTTTTTTTACTTAGTAGTGAATCCCAGTGGATTTAGTGAATGTTACTCAAGGTGAACATGGATAGGATTGCAGCCTTTCTGTTCAACTGCATATGCACACACGTATCAAATAACTTTAATAATCTGACTTGTTTTTCAGGCCACCTGTTCCAGCACGTAGTTGAAACACTGAGTGACAATGCAGACAAAAAGTTCTACAACATTGCTAAACTAGGAGGCACCAAATATGGTAAAACATACTTTTCAGTTGCACTTTCCTAATATAAATCCTCTAATAAATAGTCTAACCTCTTTAAAGTGTTATGTAGTGAGATGCAAGTATTTTCTCTAAGTTAGTAAGAACATTTGCTCAAAATGGGCACTTGATTGAATGTTTCTTACTAAGAGCAGGTCCATGAAGAGCAGTGGGATTACTTCTAATGTGGGAATGTTTAACTCCTATTTTTAGCTTGCCCTAGAGCAGTGTTTCTCCACCTTGGCAACTTGAAGATGTGTGGACTTCTTCCCTAGCATGGCTGGCTAGGGAATTCTGGGAGTTGAAGTCCACACATCTTCAAGTTTCCAAGGTTGAGAAACATTTCTCTAGAGTGTTCCTAAACTGAACTTTTTCAGGAATATTTAGTTTCAGAATTTGAGCTGTGATGAATTGTGGTGAAACTAAAGACAGTTATTAAAGTTGATATAAAATACAGCCCACTGATGAGTAAAGTTCACTCTCTTGTATCCACTATGTGTAGGCTTATCTGATTCATTACTGGATTGTCATCTTAACAGTCCAGAAATGATTGAAATATATACAAATCAGGCCAATGGCATTTATTCATAGATCTGTCAGGGCACCACCAAGTTACAGTCCCAACTTGTTAACTGTCCTGCAACTGTCAGTCTCAGAAAAGGAGCAGGGACATATATATCATTTCCGTTGAAGAGCTATAGGAAGGCATGAGATCAACAGTCATGAGTCTCAAGTAGAATTTTTTTTTTAAATAGTTAATGGCTTATGTTTAATTCCTTGATCCTAAACATCGTTTTCTGAAACATAATTTACCAGAATTAGGTAGCAGTCTTAAAACATATTTGGGAATTGGTGGCTTTGTTACTGAACCATTCTTGGGATTGTGCTGCACAGTTGTCCTCCTAAATGCATTAACTATTAAAACTTGTTGAGTAAATATGCCTAAGAGTATGCTATTAATTTCCTTATTACTGGATGTTCAAATTCCAATTAGAAACAGACACAGCTGCCATTGAATTAACTGCAGTTGGCCATTAATGTGTTTTTTATACCAGAGAAAGTTTATTCACTTAACTTCTGTTTGCCCTTTTTTGGTTCTGTCAGAAATCTGTGGACCCCCTTCATAACATAGTGTTGTCAAAATAATCTTAACCTCTCTGGTGACTAGGCAGCCAGAAATTACCTTATTTAGTTCAAACAAATGTATGTTGCAGTTCATTTCTTTCTGCTTGAAAGTTTTGGTGTATTTTCAAAATGATAAACTCTACTTAGCGAATTTCGGAGAGCCCTGCGGAAGAAGCTTACTCAGAATTACAGCCTTTCTTTATCAGTTTGTTCAGCTGGGTGTTGTCACGCTGCTGTGGTTATCTTTTTAAAAACGACAGAAACTCTTCTGTTGTATGTCCCTTTTGAGAAGCAGATATTTGATCATACAAAACTATCTCTAAAAAGTGTCCATTATTTGCTCTGTCTCTTTCCTTCCAGAAGGTGACCAGCATCACAAGATCTTTAATTTACACTAGACAAACTCATAGGTGCCTTCTGGAAGAGAAGCTGAATTGGTCATCCGAGCTTTCAAAATTTTGTTTGTTAGTTTATTTGTATCCCGCTGTTCTCCCATAACAGAAGTGCATTGAATCATGAATTTGATTCCTTGATACATGCGCAATCTCCCCATATAAATATTAAAAGTTGAGATCAGAGCATTTCAGTTATTGATGAACTGTTGGTGGTTCCCTGTCACGCTGAAAACCTTGAGGATAATTATATAATTGTTTGGTAGTTACATAACTGTATATTTTGAAATAAGAAATCGTGTTAGAGAATGTCTGTTTCCTGCTTATCAGCCTGAATTGAAAACACACTTGTCAGTTCATAAACAGCTTTCTATTTGATTAGCCTTTGGATGAATCACTTAATGAGGGAGAAATTACCTTGCCTGCCTTACAAAACTCAACTAATTTAAATGGAGCTGGCGAACCCTGCGGCAGCAGTTTGCAACCTTCAGAGCCGAAAAACTATTATGTGGGTCTGCTTGCCTTATGCTCATTAAAAAGAATAATTGCTTCTTTCTGAGATGGTGGTTGCAAGCTCCTTTACGTGTCACAGACTTACTTTAAAAGTATTGAAATCTCCAGTGTCCCTAGACAAATGTTCTCAGAGTTCATTGCTGCAGAGTGCCCTATTTTGATTTCTTTAACTCTCCTGCTGAGAATGGTTGCTCTCACCTGGACAACAGTTCTTAATAAAATTAACAGTCTAATTTTGAAGGATTCTCTGACTAGTAGCATGCTTCCTCTACTGTTTATTAATAAGTCCTGTTCTTCAGTAAGCAACATTAAATAGATTTATTGAAATACATGCTTGCCAGTTTCCAGAATCCAAGAGAAGGAGATGTAGATTCCTACTCCTGGCCCATACTCAGCCATAAGAAAACTAATGCCAAGAATACCAGCAAATGCTTATTAATGTTTTTATTATTTCCAAATGATACTTAAAGGAAAAACAATCCAATTATTTGTTCTTCTGGCAAATTATAAAGTAGGCTTCTCTTATATAATAGTAGGGATATAGCAGCTGCCTTATGTCAAATTAATCATCTAGCTTAGTTGTACAGATTGTGCTGCACCACAGTTTTCTGTCTTCTCAGACAGAAATCCCCCTACTCTCTGTCCTCCCCACATTTTCTGCTTGGACAAGTTTCCTGATTTAGAAAGAAAGTCTATAGCACCAATGTTTGTCCCTGAGCAATTTAGCTACTTGATCCATATGCAGATATCCTGCCTTATACCATACGGGTCATGTTGGAAACGGCTGTCCGCAACTGCGATGGTTTCCTAGTGAAAGAAGGCGACGTTATGAATATTCTGGACTGGCAAGCCAAACAGAACAACGTTGAAGTGCCCTTCTGTCCTGCCAGAGTCCTTCTCCAAGATTTCACGTAAGACCCACTTTTCTGAGTTATCTATTTTAGTTAGAATCTGATGAGTTTTTCTAAATGTTCTGGGTGGGTCTTTCACAGTGTTTAGACGGTCAGACATTCAGATTGCATAGTTTATCCTGGCAGTGATTCCAAGCAATAACCAATTAAGTCTGCTTAGGAAAAGGGATTGAAATAATGGAAGATTACTGCAGCGTTTACCTTGCTGGTTGTACGGTATGTTTCAGGATATCCACATGCAGGCTTTCAGACAGAAATCTTTCTCAGCTCTGTCTGGGAGTGCATCTAATTGACAGGTTGGCCATCCACTGAGTTGTTATCTTCTCAGTCAACCTGTGATGGGACTTACGTGTTAAATAAAGCCATAACGTGGTTATGTGGTTTAAGCTTTGCATGATGCAAGAACCCATCCGTCTTTATCTGTATGGGCTGGCTGGGGAATTCTGGGAGTTGAAGTCCACACATCTGAAAGCTGCCAAGGCTGAGAAACCCTGGTTTAGAACAATGTGTGAACTCAGCCACTGTGGCTTAAACCATAGTTAGAATCATGGCCTAGCCTGATCGGTAACTGCTCTGTGTATCATGTCCTGACTGTTAGTCCTCTTGATGAGATTTGGATCCTGCCTTATTTGAATCTAAATTGCTGGCTTTATAGTTGTTATAAGTAAACATTGCTCCTGTTTGTCAGTGGAATTCCTGCAATGGTAGATTTTGCTGCCATGAGGGAAGCTGTGAAGAACCTTGGAGGAGACCCTGCACAGGTCCATCCCGCCTGCCCAACAGATCTTACTGTGGACCATTCTTTGCAGATTGACTTCAGTAAATGGTATCTATTGAATTGTTGGCTTCCTTGTATTCTGTTGGGGGGCAATGGGGCACTGTCTTGGTAATACAGTAGAATGTTTGTCCTTAAGTGGGTAAACTTCAGAAGTGTGGTCATGTTGAGATACTGAGTTTATCTCCTTTAAATACATTGAATTCTCCTGTACTTGAAGCAGGAGCAGGGAATTTGTGGCCCTCCAGATTCCTGGGACTTCAGTTCCCATCAACACAATCAGATGTTGAGGTACCAGTATAAGGCAACCAGTATATTAGACAGGTGTTCCCCAAATGGAAATCTCTCTCTCTCTTGAGCTTATCAAACCTGAAGTTCCTTTTGCCTCTGGAGATTTAAAAAAAAAATTCTAATGTTCTTATGAAAAGTACGTATATATTATAATTTAGTATAATGGGGATTCAGAGGACTGCAAGGAACAAAGCATTATTTCCATTTCATTTTTTTAACAGTGCAATACAGAACACTCCCAATCCTGGAGGTGGTGATCCCCCACGACCCCCTTCCTCAAAACTCTCTCCGCTTAAAGCTCCTCGAAAGCTCCCATGCCGAGACCAGTCCAGCTGCAAAGGACCATGCGATGGAGAATCAAAGCGGAACTCGGGGCCGTTTTCTGTGCAGATTGAGAACACCCCCCTGCTGTGTCCTTTTCATCTTCAACCAGTGCCTGAGTAAGCTTGCCTTTTTAAATTTCCCTCTTGGCTTTGAAGGATCATTCTTGTTCTGCAGGCAAAAACTTTGGCAGCTAGTGAGACTGGCTTCCACCTGGATCCTAACCATACATATGTATTAAACTTACTTTACAGCCAAATATCAAACCAAGTTTGGGGCAAAGGATTTAACTGATGAAAAAATGTCTCTTTTACCCCTAACATTCTACTTTTCTTTGTGTAACATTTCCTGAAACATTAGCAAGAGAGATGTTTCTTTGGGCTCTTTTTCTAAGAGCTGTAGATATCGGTTTTAATATGAGTTCTTTCCCTTTCATCTTCTTAGGCCTGAAACAGTATTAAAGAATCAAGAGATGGAATTTGGAAGAAATAAAGAGAGACTCCAGTTTTTTAAGGTACGTTGGTTTGAAGGCAATGTGACCCAGGAGAACTTGAAAGAAAAACAGTAACAAATGGATTGATAAAAGATTTGCTGAGATCAGTCATGGAACTGATCTCCCCTTTCCTACTATGAAGGGGGAGAATGTACACAATCACAATTTAATATGGACAAATTCCCATATTAATCCCCACTTGCTACAGGAAAGAAATTATGAGGAGGCAAGTAGCTAACATCTCTTGGCACTACAACTCTCAGAATTTGCAGTACCATCTGGGGGGTGCCAGCGTGGGAAATGCTGATTTAGAAAGTGTGAAACTAACATGCCTTTTCTGTCTGTCTTTCTGTCGTCTCTCTTTTTATTAATTAAACTAGTGGGGTTCCAAAGTTTTCAGAAATGTCTCAGTAATTCCTCCCGGAACAGGAATGGCCCATCAGATGAATCTGGAATACCTGTCAAGAGTAGTATTTGATGTCAAAGACTTTCTCTATCCTGACAGTGTTATTGGCACAGATTCTCATACAACCATGGTGAATGGCTTGGGAATCTTGGGGTGGGGTAAGTAGCTTGGAGAGGCTTTTCTCTTTTTAATATCTTCTGGACAGCTGCTTGAAATCCTCGTACACTGTCTTTATAAAGAAGTTAATTGGGATAATATTGGTACAGAGATTATTTTTTACTTGACGGGTGGGGTTTGGCAACCAAATGGTTCCTCAGGCTATTTTCAAATGTCAGCATTATGACGGTCTCTGTTATTTAAATTGTCATGCTTTTAAATTACAATTTAAAAGATAGGACGTGCCATGCTTGTAAGGGATGAAGGATTGTAGGCAAAGATACTTCATATAGCTGTTCTTAAACCACATAGAGTTCTTCGCTTTGTCTTCAGATAAGCATGTTCTTGTACTTGTCAATATTTTGAAATTGTGTCCTCTTCTTTGCATCCATTTTATTAGGCATCCCTTTGTTAGCAGCCTTTGTAAGAATTGTGGCCCCGTATTTACAATTAAATAGTAGCCTGCAAAACATAACTTAAAAAGGAATGGATATAAAGAAAATAATTGAGGTTGTCATCTCAGTGTTACTTCAACCCCAGACACAGGGTAATTTTCTATTGAAATATATGCAGATGCTGTGGGGAGGTATACCTGTACATATCAAGAGTAGAAGCGCTATAAAATGCCTTTTGATATAATGCAACCTCAATAAAATATTTGGGATGGTATATATACTTAATTTATTTAGGCACATAGCCAAAAGCCATATGTGCAGGAAGAAAACATTGTCCAGATGCAATTTCTTTTGCTAAAGATGAAAAATGTTATGTTTACCCATCCAAAGGTCCATTTTATTTCTGTTTCATCTAAGGCATATGTCTTCCAGACATGAACTTAGGACAATATTGAATTTTCAGTGCAGCCTATTTTAACATCAGACAAAAGAGAGCTTGGATAAAGATTTCAACATGGTGTAACGCATCCGTTTTTCAATAAGCTGTTCGATGCTGTTATTGCCCCACCTAGGTATGGGTGGAATCGAAACAGAAGCAGTCATGCTGGGGCTACCTGTCACCCTCACTTTGCCCGAGGTGGTTGGGTGTGAACTGACTGGGTCGGCCAGCTCGCTCGCTACATCAATAGATGTAGTCCTAAGCATTACAAAGGTACGTTCTCTTTGGGGACAAAGAGGCAGCGTGATCATGTACACGCTGCTACCGAAGGTAAAACAGAGTTTTGTGCCACAAGATGGGTGGCCATATCCATCGTTTAAGTAAATAAAATAAAGAGCCATACGTTTCTCACCAGCAATGCCATTGACAGTTGTTTGCAAATCCTCAGCACTTGATGACAGACAGATAAGAGACATGCCATGCCAACTTCATGAACAGACAGTGAAATTTGTACTAAAGCAACCATTCTTGGCAAACATTCACAGTTCTTCCCACAGTTATTACGGCTTAACTGGAGCAAGGAGCAGTTGTCTGTGGGAAGTTGCAGAACAGCAACGTTCAGTAGGCAAAGTTGCTGCTGAAGTAAGATTTAATCTTACTTCTCTATTAGGGAAGAAATAGAAGGTTTCTGCCCCCGGTTTCTTTTGTATTTGACCATGGTTGTCAGATGAGTGTTAATATTGTAATTGTGATTGGGTTACGTTATGGCTGTTTTCTTGCTTGTACACGGAATAAAGAAAAGCGCATTCCCATGTAAGCTTGCTGTGTGTTGGATTGTGTCTCAACAGACTTGCTGTAGAATTACATTATTCTAAGGCATACGAATACACATGGCTGAAATGTAACAAATAGTGCAGATGATTTAAATGAATACATCTTTCAGCCATCATTATTTTTAAAAACTGTTTACTAAGTTGTGGTATTTGATAGGAGCTTTTTATAATTAAGTGGTTGTCCAGGGGACAGCAAGGTGGAATAGATGATGAGATCTTAACATTCATGTCAGGAACATTGTGGAAGTCAGTAGGACTGAGGAGGGACAGCATCTTCAGGATGAGTTTGACTTCCTAGAGCTTTAATTAGTGCTGCATAAGTAAACCACACCGGTAAAGAAAGGCAAAGCTGCTATGGTGCTCTGCTTAGCTATTTGCCATGGATTTTGGCTTGCCTGCCAAAATCATTTTGCAGGGGGTTCTTTGGTGCCCATCCTGCCTCTTGCTGGTTAACAGAGGGCCAAGTGTCAGCGTTTCCCTGCAAGCCCTCGTGGTCTGATGGATTCCCGTTTGTAGAACTGCTAACCATTTATTTTAAAAAACAATGATGCTACAGCATTTCCCCTTGGCGCACATGTGATACTGGAGGGTTCTTTTTTTTTTCCCTGTCTCCATAGCAACTAAGGCAAGCAGGAGTATCTGGAAAATTTGTGGAGTTCTTTGGCCCTGGAGTTTCCCATCTTTCCATTGGGGACCGAACCACCATCGCAAACATGTGTCCAGAATATGGTGCTATTCTGAGCTTTTTCCCTGTAGATGATGTAACGTTAAAGCACTTAAAGCATACAGGTAGGACTGACACTGAAGGAGGAGACTGGGTTGGCTAAAGCCATGTAATTAGTTTCTCAGTCTTTGGAGATATGATCAAACTTTTGAATTTTTTCCTCACAGGCTTCGATGACACCAAACTTAAGTCTATGGAGGCATATCTTAAAACTGTGAAACTGTTTAGAAATTACCAGTATTCTGCTAAAGAACCTGAATATTCCCAGGTAATTACAAAATGGGCCCAAACTCCCAAGAAAGTAGCCATTTCTGTAGTCCAAGGCATTTTCTACTCTTTCTTTTCAAACAGGTTGCTGTGCTCTCATTGCAACATCCAGTGAATTATTGGCAAGAGAATTAATTTCTCTTTGATATTGTTGATGTTGCAAGGACTTGAGTTGTCCTTGAATGGAATGCCACTGGGAATTTTGAATAAATGTCAGTATTTAAGTGGTTGATCTGAAGCGTGTGTTTTCCAAAAATATACAAACTGCAAAGATATATGGAATTCAAAATATTGTGTCTCCTCTTTTGTCAAAGACTTGTATGCCAGCTTGCCCTAAGAGAAGTTGGTCAGTACATACCACTTGCCCTCACTTTTGGCTTGCTTGCTTTAAAAGCCAGGCCTCAGCACAACAGTGTAAATTGTGAAATAACAACTAACAAAACATTTTTTCCCTGTCAGATCATACATATAAACCTGGGTTCTATCACACCGTATGTAAGTGGTCCCAAAAGGGCCCAGGATAGAGTGGCTGTAACAAACATGAAGAGTGACTTTCAAGCATGCTTAAGTGAAAAGGTATGTATCCTTTGAAAGTTCATCTTGCTGTTTTAAGTTTTTATCAGAGGAGAATCCCCCTTTCCTGCCAGTTGGAATGTTTTGATGATTATAGGGAACATCTAGAGTGCAGTTTTTCAGATCTCCCTTTTGAGCAGAATAGATGCAGGAAGTGTGTTCTTAGGGCACCCCTTCTGTTGCATGAACAAACATTGGGAATTGGCCCATCCTGGTCTCCAAAAACCATCCTATCAAAGTAGGTGATGCAGGTCTTTCAATCCAAATTAAATCATTCATGGCAGTCTTTCAATTTTATAGGCGATTCTGTTGCTAGGATTTGACTGTCTGGTCCCCAAACCTGTGTGGACCCAACAGTTCTGGTGTCTCCCTTCTTACTTCCCAACAGTAAGGAATGTGTGGTGTGTAGTGTGGACTGACTCTGCAACCACTCTTTGATCACCTAGGTTGGCTTCAGAGGCTTTCAGATTCCTGCTGAAAAGCAGCACGATGTAATTCCTGTTGAATATGAAGGAAACGAGTACAAATTGGCTCACGGATCAGTCGTCATTGCTGCTGTCATCAGCTGTACGAACAACTGCAATCCCTCTGCAATGCTAGGAGCAGGTACTTTCTCTCCCTCTCTCTCTCTCTTTTTCTCTCTTTCCAGAGCATTCAACACCTTTCAGCCGTTTTTATTGGAAGGCTGCCTGGGCCATGTGCAAGATCATATTGCCTGATTTCAGGCTTCACGCAGACATGGCTGTAAATCTCAGCTCTCCAGACCCTTAGCCCCATGTTCAGGAATTGATTTGCTTGGCCACAGTCACAACTTGGTAGGATTAGTGTCTTTTTTGCAGGCAACAAATTCATATATGCTGCAGAACACAAACATGAAACCTTGTATAGATCTGCACCCCTGGATTTAAATTCTAGGCTTTTTTCTCCTGCCTTTGCAAATCAATGGAAACTTGGTTGTTCTCTTGATGACTTTGGAAGGTATCTAATCTCTAGTAACGTTATAATTTGCTCTACCCTGGGACCTGCTGGCTCCTGCCCCACCAGCTTCATTCCTTCCACCTCAGCCTGAAAAAAATACCCAGTATCTGTTGGTAGAGCCAAATGCAACTATGTCCCCATTCTGTGAATATCTGTCACTGTCAAAGGTGGGCAAAGACATTTGCTTGCATATCAATCTCGGCACCCTCCATTTTCAAAAGAGGCAGTCATGGTGTTATTATAACAGCGTCTTCCCTTTTTCATTAGGTTTATTGGCTAAAAAAGCCACTGAAGCTGGTCTGACTGTTAAACCTTACATAAGAACGAGCCTGTCGCCTGGGAGTGGAACGGTCACGCACTATCTCAGTTCCAGCGGTGTATTACCGTACCTCAATAAACTTGGGTATTACTTTCTTTGCTCTAATACGTACCTTTTTCACATGCTTTCCACAACCCTAGGTTAGAGAGCCTTAGCAGAGAAGGTTCTGCTTGCATTTGTTTTTTTTTAAATGAAGATGCCCATTACTGAATCTGGATCCTGTGCACACAGCAGTTGTCTTATCTGAGCTGAGTCCCTTTCCTTCAGACCAGTGTTTTCCCAATTTGGGTAACTTTCAGATAGATGGATTTCAACTCCCAGAATTCTTGGCAGTGGCCACACTAGCTGAAGAATTCTGGGAGCTGAAATCCACAGACCTGGAAGTTGCCAAGGTTGAGAACCACTGCTTCAATCTTTCCACTAATAGAATCCCTAAATCTTGAAGCCCCAGCTGTGTACAGCAGCTCTTTTATGTGTGACAAATGCATTGGTTATCGAAATGCAGTGAAAATGTGAATGAATCCAAAGTGAATCACAAAATCCTGGTTTTCATTGTAGGTTTGAGGTCATTGGTTATGGCTGTTCCACGTGTGTTGGGAATACTGCACCTTTGCCAGAAGCCATTCAGAATGCGATTATACAGGTATGCTTTAACACATCAGACATCTGAGCAGAGTTTGCTGACACTGTTAACACTTGTGAAATGTGGTGTTTTAATAGGTGAGTGTTTATTGCGAATAAGGTGTACAGATACTGTTCTTGCTCATTAAGGCTAGAAGGAGTGGGTGGGAAAGCTGATCTTGTTGAACTAGGATTCCAGTGATCTTAAGACTAGTAGGGATTGTTTTAGCAGCCCCCTTGCTGTCATCTGCAGAATTTGAAACTGGTTGTTTTCCGCTTAACGGCAAATTCTTTGGCTCGACTAGCAAGGAAGTCGTTTAGAAGAGAATGAGAGTATTGAGAAAAATCCTGTTTTGTTCCATTTTTTTCACATTCAGGGCGACTTGGTGGCCTGTGGCGTTGTGTCTGGAAACAAAAACTTTGAAGGCCGACTCTGCAGCTGTATCCGTGCCAACTACCTGGCTTCTCCCTCCCTTGTTGTCGCTTATGCTATTGCAGGAACTGTGAATATTGATTTCCAGACTGAGCCACTAGGTAACTGTTGGAATTTGCCTAGCTCAAGCGTTATCAAAGCAATGTTGTTTTTTTAGAGGGAGCCCTGTTATGTAAGAGGAAAAGTCCCGTTTTCTAGTGCTGTTTGAACGATCATATACAATAGCGTAGTCCATTAGCAGCTGCCGTGCCAGCCAATTTGTCTCTCAGCATCTTTGGATACAGAAGCTCTCAGCTATCCACTGGAAGCAAATTTAGTAACTTTCTCCTCCATAGATAAGGTGGGATTTTAGGTGGGATTTTGTATGGGTTTCCTAAAATATGTGCCATCGGTATCATATGTTCAATGTGTATATCATAAACGGAGTTTTGGGACTTTCTTTACATGTTTTCATTTTCTCTGGGTGGCTTTGGCTGAGACTGACCATGATCTCCACATATCAAATTTCTTGCAGGGGTTAATCCTGATGGCAGAAATATCTTCCTGCATGATATTTGGCCTTCTCGGGAAGAACTTCAGCAAATAGAGGAGGAATTTGTAATATCATCCATGTTTAAAGAATTGAAAATAAAAATGGAGGTAGTTTATCATTTTCTTTCATCAGGGATGGGCTATATGTTTGCTTCCGAGAGCTCATATGGCACCTGGTAGTGAGATGGGGGGAGGCGTACCCAGAGTTGCTGTTTGGATGGAGACCACATCTCCCCAGACCTAGCCATTTCTGTGTTTTCCAGCTCTCCTACTTATCCTGAATGGCTTGGTTCTTTGGAGTGGATATGTTGTTGCCAATGCTTATCCTGAAATCATTTCAAAGACTGCTCCTTGTGGGAGATATTTTATAAGTCAGAGGGTGTATGTTTGTGCTGAATTAACAAAGAATTAGCCACAAAGAGAAGGGCATTCCATTATATGTGAGTATTTTTATTTCCTATAGTATGACGTCCAGCAGCTGGCCATTTGGGTATAAAGCAGGAGGAAATAACCAGAAAATAAAGTTCCTTTGTTCTCTTATGAAAATGGTTCCTCTTTGTTTTCCAGAAAGGAAATAAGCGTTGGAACTCTCTGGAGGCACCTGAATCAACTTTATTTACCTGGGATTCAAAGTCTACTTACATCCGATGTCCTTCATTTTTTGATAAGCTGGTACGTATACTAACATTAGGTGTGACTATTCATTCAGAACGTGCCAGATCCTAACCATGCTCAATCCTGTCTCTTTTCAGGCCAAAGACCCGCTTCCTCCCCAGTCCATTGAAAATGCACACGTCTTGCTGCATTTGGGAGACTCTGTCACAACTGATCATATCTCACCTGCAGGAAGCATTGCGAGGGGAAGTGCTGCAGCGAGATATTTGATAAATAAGGGGTAAGGCCCTCCAGGGGAGTCTGGCTGGAGGAAGAAGAGCTGGATTTCCAGTTCACCCTCAGAAATTACTTTCTTCTGGCAGTGATGAACAGTGTGTGCCTCTTTGGTTGCTAAATAGGTTTCAGCCTTTTGAATCAGAATTTGTTGTATACTTTCTCCTTAGGAGGCTCTTCTATGACTTGGTCTAATTCTAGTATTGTATAAAAACAAGTGATAATAAATACAGATCAACAGGTTGGAGTGTTAAAACGTAATTAGGAAAAAAGGCTCAGTGCCAGATATCTATGCACAGAAGTGAGACCTGTGTCTTCACCTTCCAACCCTGACCGTGTGTGTGCAGGAACACCTTTTTAAACCATGGGAATAAACAAACTAATTTCCACACTGAATGCCTTTGGTGGTCTCTCTCTTTTAGCCTCACACCCCGCGAGTTCAACTCGTATGGGGCTCGCCGGGGGAACGATGCTGTGATGACCAGAGGCACCTTTGCAAACATCAAGCTTTTAAATAAATTCATTGGCAAGCCAGCTCCTAAAACAATCCACTTCCCCACAGGACAGACGGTGAGGATGTGGTTTCAAAGAAAGTCTTTATTGGTTATCTGTCCACCAAGAATATATCATGACCTGGGTCTCTGTCTGTCTTCATTGCAGCTGGATGTATTTGATGCAGCTGAGTTATATCGGAAAGAAAGTATCCCCCTGATTATCTTAGCAGGCAAGAAATATGGATTGGGGAGCTCAAGAGACTGGGCTGCCAAAGGACCTTTTTTACTGGTATTATGTTTTTACTTAAACACTCGTTATTATGTCCTGGAAGTGTTCATTATTCCGGTCTGCTTGATTTCTTTGGGAAACTGCTGTCTTTAATTTTGTAGAACACAAATTGCGTCTGTCTCTCTTGCTTCCTCTTTTGAAAACGTACAAGCTGGTCTCAAGCAGCAGTCGATGATTTACAACTGTAAACTGGGGAAATTGGGACCACACTTAAGAGAACATGGTCTAAATTCACTGTGTAACATGGGTGTTGGTGATTGCTTATGGGCCAGATAATCCTGATTGGTTAGGCTGTAATAATTCCTGCATACGCAGCTTAATTTTAGTAACAGGAATAGATCCAATTGCAACTGTCCCTTTCCTCTGATTCTTTCAACAACAGTTGCTTGCATTTTAGAATCTAGTGCTAGGAGGCAACAGTACTCCTAGAGGTGGGTTCTCTTAATAACCACCAGGATCCTTCTCCCCCCTCCCTTTGGGAGTGTGTCCACAGCATATTCTTGATATTCCAAATGAGCCCAAACTGGGAAGGATCCCAGTGTTTTTGGCTGTACCACTGTTTATTAGCATTCTGGGCTAGAACCCAGAAAACTCAGATTCTTTGTCTTAAAATTCAGACTATGTTCCAGATTAGAGAAATACTGGGGAATTAGGCAGTATCTGAATTGGATTTTTTTTTTTTCTGCAGGGAGTGAAAGCAGTGATTGCAGAAAGCTATGAGAAGATCCATAAAGGTCATTTGATTGGAATGGGCATTGCACCACTTCAGTTTCTCCCTGGGGACAGTGCACAGTCTTTGGGCCTAACTGGCAAAGAACAGTTTTCTATCTTCTTCCCTCAAGAGTTATCGCCCGGAATCACCCTGTGTGTGAAGGTACCACGTTTTTACTTCTGTATGGGGTTCCATGCAGTATTTGATGTTTGGGAAAGTTTTGTTTTCATTATATTTTTCTTAAGCCTTTTTAATAAGAGAAAAAAGGAGCAGGCAAATGGGAAAAAAAAAAAGGAAAAAGGCAATAAAATAATATAAGACACAAAGTAAATAAGCAGGGAATTTACAAGCATTACAAAATTAGATTAAAATTTTCAACATTTCATTCACTGACTGAATGTATTATTTTGGAAACTACAGGTGGTTCTTAAAATCCAAGCAATGTAGTGCAGACAGCAGAAACCGGTTGAACCCAGTTTTAAATTTTAGAATCACTAGAAAAAACAAAGTCTTTAACTGACCTGTGGGTTTGTCCTCTTTCTTTTGTTCTTTTAAGACGAGTACAGGAAAAGTGTTCCACGTGGCTGCCTCATTTGACAGTGATGTAGAAATAACCTTGTACAAGCACGGCGGTGTCCTGAACTATGTGGTTCGAAGGCTGTTGTAAAGCCCCATCGACACCTCAGAGGACTGCAGACCCACCCAACCTCCTGATGGCTTGCTGAAGCCTTCCTCTCCTTTTGGAACTGCTGACAGCCCCATTGTGCTCAGATACTTTGTCCATGGATGTAAAAGATTGTGAAATTGTTGTAGTAACTGCAGCAAGGCCCTTCTGGATTTTAAAATACTCGAATGGTGCTATTGACATTGCTAGACGTTGATGTGTGTGTTGTGAAAAGAGATCTGTAAGTATGAGGGAAGGGGGGTTATCTTAGACCATTTTGTATATAAATTATGTGAAAACCTGAAACTGAATTGTGAAGATTTTAAGCCAGATTTCCTGCTGTTCTTTCCCCTCTTAATTTTTTGCACCTTTTAACTTTCTACTGCTGTTTATTGGTTTGAGCATAGCACATGGCTTAAGGATGTATGATTTCCTTCTTTTAAAATTCAGAAGATCCAAGATTCTGACAATGAACCCCAAAAACACCCGCAGATCCAGATTACTGTATCAGCCATCCACTAGAAAGTTTAAGGGAGGCTGACCTAGTTAATAATAGTCTTTTATCAGCCTTCCCCTACTTGGTGCCTTCCAGAAAAGTGGGAGAGTTCTCAGAACTCTCAGCAGTGGCCTCATTGGGTGGAGATTTCTGGGAATCAGTCCACACGCTGAAGGGGGTACTCTCAGAGCAGAAATCTGCTCCGTGAAGAGAGACTTCCTTATGAAAAGTTCCAAAACTGACATTCAATTGGGGGAATTTGAAATAGAAGCTTGCAGTGATCCCTCTGGCTCCCTCGGTGACCTTTTGATGAGTGGCTATCATGGAATTGAATTGGATGGTTTTGTCTCTTGCTTCAACAGCATCAGCCTTCTTTCCTCAGCTGGCCTTTGGCTGTTAACAGGTATTGAGCAGTATTGTCTGCCCATCAGAAGAACAGGGAAGAGTTTTCATTTTTTTCTCTTCAGTCTGTGCAGCGAACAAACCTGTTGGGTTTCAAATGAGTAGTGTCCGATTTTTCTTCCCATTGTTCTGATCTTTCCAAAATGACTTTATTTGTGATGGCACGTGGCAGTGGCGTTATTCTGAGGAGCAATCTCTGATTAAGAATTCCATACTTCCGCAGATCTTTACAGTAATTTTGAGTTTATTACTACAGGAATTTCTGTAGCAGAAAACATCCTGAGCCCTAACTCACTAAAAAGTCTCTTCCACTTATGTTGTTTATAGAGCTGTTTTTTTTAAAGCAAACAGACTTCATGTAATAGAATAAACACTCTATTTCCAGTAAATGGTATGTCACTAAAAACATCCATGAAGCTCTGAAAGACAATTTTTTAATTTGGACACTTACTAGATTCTTTTTTTGAGAAATTAAAGAAGAAACGATTAAATGATTAGAAATACACTTTGCAGAGGCAGTGATAAAAATCTGTGGAACATTTCTGCCCGGTCCTTTTGAACCTTAGATGTTTTTCCAACAAGCTCTTTAAGCAAGTATCATATACATTTTTTTTTCTTGAATCAATATTTTCTCTGCCATATCAGCTGTGCTGTATGTTTGCCTACCTTATTGTTTTCTTATCAGTTCACTGACATAGATGGCTTTCTTTTATTATTCCATTTGAATGAACTGCTTGGAGTTCTGTCTTGATCACAGATGGCAAAAGATAATAAGGATATTTCACTCATTTCTTTCAGCTTCAAGGCATCTTCTCTACTGTTAGGTTAAGGACACTGTTCTCTGCTCCAAAGTAAAATGCATGCTCCTAGAAACCAGTGTGCCTTATAGACACACCCCACAGTCCTCTAACTCAGGGTTCCTCAACCTTGGCCACTTTAAGACGGGTGGACTTCAACCCCCAGAATTCCCCTAGCCAGCAAGGGGAATTCTGGGAGTTGAAGTCCACCCGTTTTAAAATGCCCAAGGTTGAGGAACCCTGCTCTAACCCAAATCCAAAAACAGCACTTGTAACTTCAGATTACTTTCAGAGCTTGTAACTGGGAGATACTGCAGACCCTTTTAGTAAGCTGACAGTAATGTGAAGTTGAGCGTTCCCTATAAATGGCCTCCATCTATGTCTAGGTGCTGATATTTGACATGCTTTCAAATGGGTCGGGTCAAGTGGCCATCTCCCCCCACCCAGGTTGCTTTTTTTGCTACATGATATGTTTGACCAGACCTGCCTGAAGATTCTGGCCTGTAGATGTTAGAAGATCAGCCTGATTGCAGTTCTCCAAGTGTCAAGTCAGAATTATGATCCATATTAGGTCAAACACAGTAACATGGTTTGGCCTTTCTCTCTTAAATTCAAAAGATAATATTTTGGAGGTTGCAGCCCTATCCTTTTTTAAAAAAATGTAAAATAATTTTCCGTGAACATCTGGGAAGAACTGACTATAAATAGGTTCAGTGGGTGATGGACATATCATGTTAACTATCAAAGGGCTTGGCAGCAGAGTGCTCATAATATTCCTAACTGACATTGGTGACTTTTTTTAATTAAAAAGCTGAAATCCTTGAGATGATCAAATACCAAAAGACTTCAGACACTTTTATTAGTAAGTGGGGTGCTTTCTAAAAGTGCTGGTCCTCACCTCTTGAAAACTCTGAAAACCTCTTGAAATGATACCATAACCTGTAGGCATACATGGATTAATTCTCCCTCTAAACCAATAAAAGCATAATCATTTGGACACTGTGATTGAAGACTTGTGTGGTTCTATTAATTGAAAGCAAAGTCACCTGTTTGAATTCTTTTCACCTTGGCAATGCACAATGTATTCTAGTCAGAAGGCACTGGGTGTTCCATAATCTACCATAAATGCTAATCTTGGGCTCTCAAGCAGGGCAAAATTACAAAAACTGGAAACGTGTCTGGTTTTCACATTCTCTCTTCAGTTTGGCTTCTGAAAAGAACCGTAACTGAGCCTTTGAGAAGGTTGTAACCAAATTAGGGGGGAGTGTTTTATCAATTATACCCAGCAAAATAATACATGCATTTTATTCTCACATGAGCCACTGCAACTGAATGTCTGCTCTTTTAAGCCAATGTTAACAGTATACAATGGTTTTCAACTCACGAATAAGTATTGTATAGACATCTTAAAAGACAAAGTTCAATTTGCTGACAATTGTGCATAAAATGTTAAACTGATGTAAATTATTTTTAATAAAGAAAAGTTGTACCATGTCTCAGTTGCAACCGTTTTTTTTTTAAATTGTCTTTTGACAAATATTCCAAGAGAACTGGATTAGTAAAAGCCGTCATAATGGCTGTGGAAAAGTGGCTAAGTACATTCACCACTTCATAAAAGGTTTGTGACGTTGTGAAAGATGTTGGCGGTCGTGAGCCAGGGTTGGCAAGCTTATCGCTTTTTATGAATTGTCATTTTTGAAATCGTCTTTATGCAAAGGTACAAACAATTGTGCCCGTTCAAGTTCAGTGAAAGAGGTGGGAGTGCGTAGGAGCAAAGTGGCTGTAAACGCAGAGTCACACCAAGGCACGGCGGATGTGTGAGTCTGGGGAAAGACGCGATTGCTTCAACAACGTAAACCCAAAAAGGAACTCCTGCATAGTAATGCATTTGGTGGTTCTAAGCTGTCCAAAGTTCATTCGGTTGCCTATTTCAGTCAAATAAGGAAGAATAGATTCTTCCTTGAAATTCTTCAGAATTAGGTTTGGGCTTGAAGTCAAATGACCAGCTGAACAACTATTTCTGTACAAGGAATGTATGTGTACAATTGAAATGGTGTTCAGCTCCTGTAACGTTCAGCTTACATCTAACTGCAAACCTCTTACCTGAAATCTCAATTTGCTTTGGTTTCGCTCTACGTTCAGGATTTAAAAAAAAAAAATCTGTTTATTTTAGTGGTTTAAAACTTTTTGTTGTACTCAAAATACTTCCTGGGGCCTCCTGAGAGTTTGAAAAAAGGTGAAGTGAAAGGTTGGGGTCGTCCCTTAACTAGCGTAACTTTGCTTAACTGGGATTTACTGAATTTCTTGGTTGAATGGATTCGCCCAGCAACCAAAGTCAAGTCATAACTGTTGAATCGTAACAGTTGGCTGTACACAATACACTAATCCAAAACTGGATCATGTTATAGCCTAGTGCGCTGTGTGAACCTAGCCAGTGTTGTCCATTTCAAGGTTGTAAAAGATTCAGCTCGAACACATGCATGCAGTGTTTTGAGCACTTACAAAGTCTTGAAAAGCACTTCACCATCTTGAAAAAGTTGGGTTTATTTCTGCTGTCCCGTGTTTACACAAGCATCGCCTTAAAACCTTTAACAGGCTTTGCAATTCTGCAGAAATTGCAGACCAAAAAAAAAGCATAAATGATTATATAGGAAGAGCATGCCAAGTTCAAACTTCAACAGAAGCCTTCGCTCCAGTTCTAAAATTCCCTTTTAAAAGTTGGGGGTGGGGGAGATATTTATGCTCCAATTGAAAACCTGTTCGGTTTGGTTTTTGATGTTGATCTTAATACAAGTATTCTATCGTGGCCCTGGCATCAGAAACACACAGTTGCTGAGACAGAGGGAGGGAATTACTTAGCCTTGGGGTCCAAAAAGGGGGGGGCCTAAATTCCTTTAGCCAATTGGAAGCTCCCTTATAAACTTTCTCAGGCAATGAGAAACCAACTTCTAAGCCCTACTTTGATAGGACCGTAGCAGATTCCCGTGTGAGCTGTGGCACTGCAGGGTTACGTACTGGGTTCTCCCAGCCCGTGAAGGCAAATGGGTAGGAACCTACTGCTACTGTCCCATCTGGTGGCTGGAAGCCAAGCAAGAAAAGCGAACTGCAAGTTGGCTTAACATTGCATTCTGCTTTAATCTACTTTGCGCACACACATGCACGCACGTGCAAAATATTGTAGGTGTTCCTGCAGAACCAAAGGAGACCCTAGAGAAGGCAAAACCATTCCCTATACAACTGGCTCACGATGGAAAAGTTTAAAGACTCTTTCTTGTTGCCCAGGTAAGATAACATACTTGATTTTCAAACAGAAATTCTGTCCCTCCATGTGCAAATGTTTTCTTTTGCCTTTCAACGGGCCTTCAACATGTTATGTATAACATATTTATATATATTTCACAACCCTCTGGCCTCTCTCTTTACAGCACACTCCAGTAAAGGACAAGTCAAGGGAGTGTTAACCTGCCTTTGGTATTTGGAAGAGCAAACAACTTTGATTCAGTTTCTAAGGCATCCTTCAGATCTGAGTGGGTTAGGGGGCCTAAAACTGACATGAGGGTTTAAAAGCCAGATGATCAGATCCTGGTTTAAGAATTAATGAATTAAGAATTAAGCAGGTGACCACACCGAGATGGAAAACAGCAACTGAGCAGAAAGTCATGCCATATGGATTTTTGGTAGAATTCCTTATTGCCTTATTTCCATTGGGAACAAACAAGCTGAAAGGCTAAGTTGTGTGAATGTCAGAATGTGGTCAAGGGAATCTAGTAGGGTTGGTAAGTGTGGGTTACAAAACTTCCCTGGGGAATAACCAACAAAATAACTCACTGTTGCTGCAAGCCCATTTTGTTTTAGGTTGTTCATGTATGTATAAAGATCACACTCTGATCTTGTGTAATGGTGTCCAAAGGTTATTGGAGATGTTTAGCCTTGGAACAAAGAGGACGCGTTACCCATTATCAGTCTTCTGATAACAAGTTCTATGGCCAGATTCAGAGCTGGGCCAAAAAATTAGCCTTTTTTTTTCATTCCTTCTTGACCTAGCAAGCATGACTTTAATTAGAAAGTCTCCGGTTTGTCAAATGTCAGCCTTTGAAGCTACTTCAGCGCTATGCTGATAAATACTTAGTCTCCTAGGACAATTTAAATCAGAGGTTTTCAGACTTGGCAACTTCAGGATGAGTGGAATTCTGGGAGTTGAAGTCCACACATCTTAAAGTCGCATTGGTTGAAATGATAGATTTAATAATGATTTCAACAGGATTAAGCAGTTAAGGAAGTATCAGGAGACATGGCATATATGCAACTTGTGTTCTGTGGACACTGAGGTCAGAGGTGCGTCTGCTTGAATGGCTTGATATACATTGTGGTTTAATATTGATAAAAAATGAAAGTGTGAGTATTAAAAATGGTCTTATTCAGCTTTTAAAAGAGAAACGGGTGGAAGGAAGTGGGGAGTTTGGACTGAGCTGCCTGAATGTTGATGAGAACTTTTGATGCAGATGGGGAAAAAATAATGTTAGAGAAAATTATATTTTCCATCATTTTCTTTGTCCAATAGTCCTCTCTAACAGGTTGTGCAGGATTGTGGTGCCACAAATGTTTGGTCTCAGCAGGACCAAACAGGGAGATTACAATTATTCCAACAGAAGAGAATCTCTGTAGCTCGGGGTTGAACTGTGGAGTTCTGGGTGCTCTCTGAGCTTGGCTGTTGGCTTGCAGACGTTTCATGACCCGACTAGGGAACATCATCGGTGCAAGGGAGTGTGGGGTTTGCTCCCTGTTTATATACAGTCGCTTGCCCTGCCAGTGTTAGTGGGGTGTGGTTTTCTCCTTGGTAGTTCCTTGATTAGGGTATTGATTTCTGCTTGATTCCTGGAAGCTTGGCATTTGGACAAATCAGCCATCAGTAGATACACAGAGATAAACCACACATTTACACACCAT